AATAAATCAACATTGCTCCAACACCGCTAACGGAGAAATCTAATGTTAAAACACTATGGATAATCAAACCCACATTTCAGGCTTCACAGGGGCCATTGGTTGTCGCAATAGGAGCCAATCTTTTTTGATGAGAGGCAAGGGGTTGACCCCTGACCACCCTATGTTGTTTGCTAGTCTCAATGAACTATGGAATGTTACGTGATGCCAACCAAAGGTGTCTGACCTCTCCCCCTAGACAGATAAAGACATTCACTCTTATAGCTATAGATAATTTCACTCTACATTAAGGCTATCTACCCTATACAGTACCATGAAAGTTAATACTGACAAAGTTTCAAAATCCTTTAACAGTCATATGCACATATGTTTTGGTGAGCTTCAAAACCCCTTTCATCTTTATATAGCTGTCTCATCTTTGGATAGCAAAATGTTCTATATATCTAGATTTTAAAGGGGGGATAGGTAGTAAATTTTATAACCTCAAAACCCACACATGCATCAAATTAAAGCAATTTGGTAAGAGAACTGTGAAATACATATTAGCCAATAAGAGAAATCTCCCAATAATAAACTTTAATACCATACTATAGTGAAGTGGGTAAGGTCACAGCTCACCTACAAGTGGGGAAACAGGGGAGATATATTTTATTTATTTTGTCTTATTTTCAGACAGATATAGAATTTTTAGGCATTGCCAGAATGAAACAATACGGATGAGAACCAGTGCCATAAGAGTCTAAGAAAGGGTTCTCAACCATCGCAACAAAGTTTTTCAAATTTATTGTGTGACGATAATCTCTTTCAAGAGAGATTGAGCCTGCTCTTCCCTCCAAAGTACGTCCCAGTAACAAATAATAAAGATATATCTAACAAGTACAACAACAAGTTTTGCCCAGAGAGCAAAACGTATCCAGCCCACCGGCGCACCTGCTCGCCTCCTCCACCGTTAAAGCGGCAAACTGCTTGTCCATCGCCTGCCCGTCGCTGATTGGCTGGTGCCCGTCGCACCTGCCCCACCACCCGCCAACACGAGCTGATGTCTGAGCTACAGCGACCTAGGGAAGGCAGAATATCCTCGTGCTCCACACAGTCGACACGTCTCATTGGTAGACTAAGCCTTGGCTTACGTGTACTAAGGGAGGTGGCAGCTTGAAGCCAATATTCCTGCATCATTATTTCCTTTGCTATTATTCACTTGCCTTAACGTAACTTTTCATTTGCCAGTGATTATTCTTATTATTTTGTTTGTTGATTTATGTTACATTTTTATGCCCAATTTTATTCATGTTTTGCTTTTCTAAAGTAATTAAAATTTCATGGTTAAATTTACTTGTGTTTTGTGTGTCTTCCCATTACCTTACCACAGACGAAAGTTCCAGCTTTTCTCTTTTTTTCTTTTCTTTATGTGACGAGGCCATACCCCTAGCTTTTGAAACAGCCGAACACCAACGCGTTACCGTCGCAATTGAAAGTACTGTAATACCAAAACATACTACATGCATGCCATGCTATCGCATAAGTATCACTTCTTCATTTTTAGTGGTTAAAAAGAAATAAAATACTGCAAGTACCGAACGGAACATAATATTGACCGACGCGCATACTGTACTTCAAATCAACTGGATACACCACCAAAACACTGACATGTTATGGTACTGTGTAGTACCATGGTACCTGTCTCAGTAGTACAGTAAAGATCTATTTTTGCAGTACTGTACTACTTTAGTAAAATTTCATCAAACAATTCAATAATTTTTTTTACACAGGCAGGTACAGATGATGTCCAACTCCAGTTAGCAGGCTGGCGTCGGACGTTAGAATAAGCTGGAACTCTCCCTGCTACAGCTTATCTTAACCCACTTGCCATTTGAGGAAACGCCTTAACTACCAGTGGGGTTCCGGTAGAACAGTTGGCTTCATCCGCGGCTCTCAATCGGAAAATATGGGTTCCAATCCCAAGCAGGACAGATGTGGTTGGGCACATTGTTTATTACAAAAAGCCCCTGTTCACCTAGCAATACATAGGTACCCAGGAGCTAGTCAGCGTGTTGTGGGGTTACATCCTGGGGAGGGTCAATAGTTTGTCAAAAGGGGGGGGGGAAGAGACCTCGATATATGCCTAACACGTATATATTAAATATCCCAAATATTTAATATACTGTACTGTACATGTTAGGTAAAACGTATTATCGTGTTACTTATAACCCGATATACAGTATACTATTTATCTCTACAATGAATTGTTAATTTATTATTATTACTACAGAAGCTTAGAACATGTGAACTGCTAATTAACACACAATTGCTAATGGCATGCTGCAATACAATACATACATGACACAACGATAATGTTTATACAATTCATCTTGGGGGGGGGGGGGGAAATGACAGGCAACCAAATCAAATAAAAATCAAGTCTTGAGAAAAACTTCTCCATTTTACGTAATAGAAATTAATACACGTAATAGCAATTCCCAAACAAATTGCATGGCAATAAAATTTTAAAGAACTGAAGACAGATTGACTAAAGATTATCAGAAACCATAATTTTAAAATCTTAAACACCAAAATAAACCTAATGTCATGTAGTGTTGGCAAATTTTAGGACAGATTTTTCTCATTAACAACATACTGAATGAAAAAATACTTAAAACATCCTTTACAACATATATCGAGCTTCAACGGTAGTAAAACTGCGATAGCCTGTTGGGGTAAGGTGCCCTTAAAGAAATAAAGTACAGTACTACAGAAGTATATTAAATGCAAGATAAAAAAAATGTGTAAGGTCATTAAATGAAATGGCTACCAAAGCCAAGAAACATTATCTACTGTACAAGGAACTACCGAAGATGTTCAACAGCCTAGGATATGCCCGAATTGGAAGACTAAGACAAAATGTCACGAGAAATTGTCAAACCCAAGATGGCGAGAACTCAAGGTTGCAGTTGGAGATAAAATAAATATTTTTCACAAAACTGGTAGATGGTTGTACTGTAATAAACACTACGAGAGAATAGTGTGCCAAAACTACTCCACGTTTTACAATTTATGATAAAATGGTAATAAAGAAGATACGACAAATTAAGCACAAGTCTTTTCCTGTTGCTCAAGAGGAAACTAGATTGTTTCCTTCAAGGAGTACCGGACCAACCGGTCTGTGGTGGGTATGTGGGCCTGCGGGCCGCTCCAAGCAACAGCCTGGTGGACCAAACTGTCAAGTCGAGTCTGGCCTCGGGCCGGGCTTGGGGAGTAGAAGAACTCCCAGAACCCCATCAACCAGGTATCAACCAGGTAGGTGTCCAAAACCTATACAGTATTTATCAATGGGGGGAAGGGGAAAATATGTCATATACGTTTTCTACACAAATACAGTGACTGTTTCATGTGCCACAAATATATAAACAAACTCAAACAAGTGATAAATGTGTTCAAACACCTTCTATCAATTGTCGATACAATAAGATACTGTATATAATTACCATGTATTTACATAAATGTAGATTCAATGAGATTGCACATGTGACATTGGAAAAGGAATGATTTAACATTCAGGTTAGTGGTTTCTTAATACATGTTGCAATTCTTTTCTGTAAAAATTAAGGGATAAGCCACCATACTATTTGCATAGCTAAAGATTTTGAGATCAAACCAAGTTTTTTAATGTTTAGTGTAAAATTTGTTTAACTTTAAGACACTAAAGTGTGATTATTTTGCCAATTGTATAACAAACATTTTTATATAAATACTTTTGTATGCTGACTAGTTAGCATAAATATTTGTAGATTCCTTTTCTAACCAAGAACTATTATGCACAGAAGCCTCCGTCATGCCAATATTACCAGAAACACTGAGCATTAATGGCTTTAGACATAGTATGTACTAACTCTTATCCAGAAATCCAACAATCTGTTTGTAACTCATCTTGTATGAACAGAACTTTTACCTGAATAAACACTTATTATTAACCTCATTATTATTAGACAACATGTAAGAACACTTGCGGTGTTCTATACAAGTGTACACATGCAAGTGTATCCATTAACCATTGTACTGCTCAGTGATTTTTTTTTTAATTAGGCTACATATATTAATGTTTTTTAATGTGGACCTGCCCAAAACGCTGCGTGTACTAGTGGCTTTACAAGATTGTAAATACTATGCTATGTATTCTCATAAACCCAATGTACCTTCTTGTATATAAATAAATAAATATAAATGTTTTCATCACTGTATTGAAATGAAAATGGTCGAGTTTGGAAACTTTTTTTTTACCTGAACATTTATAAAAACGAAAATATGTCCTTGACAATTGTACTATGAACTTTTTGCCAAAACCAGGTGTAGAGTGCAGGGGTTAACATGTATACTATTATAAACTGGAATGGTACAGTCAGTGCCACGGCCAAAATACACTAACAATATATTACGAAGAAAATTAAAACTAATGCCAATTATTGCTAATATCTACGACCTTTTCTGACAAATACCCAACAAGACTATTACAATGAACAAGCAAAGTAGTGCACATTCTTTCAGTCAACAAGTAAGGATGACTTCCATTTCCTGAAGCCAAAACGCACACAATTCACAAAACAATCTTAAATAAAAATCCCGACCAATAACAACTTACAATCACAATCAATCCCCCCAAAAAAACACTTAAAAGGGACAAGTCCAAAAAAAAACAGGAGAAACTTTAAAGTTTGAAGTTCAATGTCCATCATCAATGACGCAGAGAACAGCACTTGCTAAGTGAATAATTTAGAGTCTAGAAGACAGTGATATAGTATAAATACTGCCGGAAACTGCTAATAATCCCCGCCATAGGAGTATCTAGGAGGGAGAATTACCCGAGTGTCAGGACTGATCAGCTGGTCAAGTGACGGGCGGACAGAACCCCCACAACAAAATGTTTACCAACACTTTTATCCTCTCTAGGCTCCATTTCCAGCCCCTTTTCCCGTGCCGCGTCGCCGTCACACACAATCCCGCCTCCTTACCTGCACAAATGAGCGTTAATGTAGCCTTAAAGCCAAAATTCAATGGGGTAACGCACAATATATCAACAATGACGTTCCACCCCTCAGGATCAACCACACAACAACCTCTCGCCCATTTCCTCCTCCGCCGAGCCCCCTTAACAATTATACCGTCTAGGCTCGCATTTACCCGTCGCACGCACTCATTTCTTGCACGCCGAGCCACGCTAACACTTGCCCAAGCTAGTTTGGGGCCATAGAGTTGAGTGTGCGTGTGGTGGGGGGAAATAATGGAAGGGGTTGACGAGGGACTAGTTTGTGATGGAGCGCGTAGTGTTGTGATGGTGAGGTGCAGGAGGGAAGGTGGCCGGGGGTGGCCCGCCCCTCCTCACCACTCACTCACACTTCCCTCACATACTCAGCCTTTATTGCCTCACTCATCACAACTTCTAGACCTCAATGATCTTTGGGGATTAGTTAGCTATCTGGTTGTATGTGTGGCACTCTCACCTTCCCTCAATGCACAGCCCTACATGTGTGAGGATGGGCTGTATAAGTCACTACACTAAACTAATTGAGAATGACCTCAGTAATATATGGTGACTTAAACTTTGCTGACTGTCTCATACCTTTTATAAAGCTTCGATTTAGAGATAAATGATCTAACGCAGGTTTTTTTTTCTCTCTCTCTCTCTCTCTCTCTCTCTCTCTCTCTCTCTCTCTCTCTCTCTCTCTCTCTCTCTCTCGCTCTCTCTTAATATCTTTCTCTCTTTGTCTCTCTCTTTCTGTCTGTCTCTCTCTCTCTCTTAATATCTTTCTCTCTTTGTCTCTCTTTCTCTTAATATCTTTCTCTCTTTGTCTCTCTCTCTCTCTCTCTTTCTCTTAATATCTTTCTCTCTCTCTCAATATATTTCTCTCTCTCTCTCAATATCTTTCTCTCTTTGTCTCTCTCTCTTTCTCTCTCAATATCTTTCTCTCTCAATATCTTTCTCTCTTTGTCTCTCTCTCTTTCTCTCTTAATATCTTTCTCTCTTTCTGTCTCTCGCTCTCTCTTAATATCTTTCTCTCTTTGTCTCTCTCTCTCTTTCTGTCTGTCTCTCTCTCTCTCTTAATATCTTTCTCTCTGTCTCTCTTTCTCTTAATATCTTTCTCTCTTTGTCTCTCTCTCTCTCTCTTTCTCTTAATATCTTTCTCTCTCTCTCTTAATATATTTCTCTCTTTATCTCTCTCTCTTTCTCTCTTAATATCTTTCTGTCTCTCTCTCTCTCTCTCTCTCTCTCTCTCTCTCTCTCTCTCTCTCTCTCTCTCTCTCTCTCTCTCTCTCTCTCTCTCTCTCTCTCTCTCTCTCTCTCTCTCTCTCTCTCACGGGGTCCAGGAGCTAATGGCTCGATTCTGCAGACAAATAGTGAATACAAATATTAAATAATCCAAACATATGCACACAAGGAGAAGTTCCAGAGATAAGAGAAGGAATATCTAACCATGCAGGTACCACTGGAGAGGTTTGAGATTACCAGTTGAGAGTTAAGAAACCATTTGCTTGAGTTGGATGTGAAAAAGACCCGGACGGAATCTCACCATTTACAGGCCAGTGTCCCTAACTTGCATACCATGCAAGGTGATGGAGAAGATTATGCACAAAAAAACTAGAAGAATATATAGAGTGAAAGAACTTTGTAACTCATCATCCGCATGGGTTCAGGGATGGCAAATCTTGCCTCACAGGATTAATTGAATTCTATGACCAGGTGACAAAAGTCAGGCAAGAGAGAGAAGGGTGGGCAGACTGCATATTTTTGGATTGCCAGAAAGCCTATGGCACAGTACCCCATAGGAGACTTGTACATAAGCTGGAGATGCAGGCAAGAGTAAAAGGGAAGGTACTCCATTGGATAAGGGAGTACCTAAGCAACAGAAGACTGAGTCGATGTGAGGGGTGAGGTCTCAGAGTGGCGCGACATCACCAGTGGAGTCCCATAGGGTTCAGTCCTTGGACTGATCCTGATCAAGTTAAAATAAGTTTATTGAGAACAGGAAGTACATCTCAAAAGGATAGAGTAGCTTAGGCTATTTCTACATGGCATACTGTGAGATCTCTTATTGATTATGCTGCCCCTGTCATTTCTTGAGTTGGTATAGGCAGGCTAAACAAGTTGGAGAAGGTACAAAGAAAAGCCATGAGAATAATCTCAAGATTATTCTCATGGCCCAAAAAATACTATTACTGAGACAATGATGATATGAATTAACTTACAAAGTATGGAGGATATAATTTCAGAGATAAATGAAGCTTCGCCGATTAGATTAATGAGAGGCAAGAGAGCTAATGAATTAATCCTCTCACTTCAAAAGGTGGAAAATGAATAATGCATAATAACATCCTTATGTTCTATTACAAAGCACGATGTCCTTCAAGAATGTCTTTCATTGTCAAAGAAACAATTAACACCAACATGTGAGGAATACAACGTAGATACAGTAATTGTTCCCTCTATGCTCTCAGACTCTTAACTTTGATGAGTTCTATTTCATTGATAAGCCGGACGATGTACTCTACCTGTCAACTGTAGACTCCTCCCCCCCCCCCTTCCTCTATTCTACTTAGGCTTAGTCCTTGATGAGTGAACTTTAAGGTGACTTAGTTCGTGTTTACCAACCGTTAAGTGTTGTGATTAGCAGGGGCAGACAGCTATAGTGTCCGCAATGTCTTGTGTAATGACTCACATTGTATAGTGAATCCTGACAAATCAAAGAGTTCGATTGCTTGAATTATGATACTCATCATGTTAAATATAATTGATGAATTTATTGTTTAAAGCGTCTTTAATTTTGTTCCCTAGAGCTTTGTGAGTTGAGGCGAGAGAGCCTCTGAGTTTATTGATTTTATAAGTACATGCTTAGATACAGAAAATACATCCTAAAGTAATATTTGATAACAGCTTAGAGAATAGACAAGTTCCATTCCTTGTTGTGTATGTACTGACTTAGGATGGATGGTGGCAGCGCTTTTCTATTCTACTTGTACTTTCTACTCATCTACCTTTTCTACTTTTCTAATCTCCTTCACCTCAGTCTCTCCCTAGCATTCTAAACTTTCCATTTTCAACTGACTATTCCTCGCTACTCCCAGACTCTACTCCTTACTCCTCCCTCCTACTCCTCCTTCCTCTCTACCTTCCTCACCCCAAACCCTCACTCATTACTTTATTATTCTTTTCTTTCTCGCTCCCCTCCCCCCTTCTCTGTAGTCACAGATAGGTAAGCTGAATATATAATACAATTGAAAACAAAAATAATAGCATAAATGGAGATGTATACGAGGTGTAAGACAATTAAAACACAATCGAGGAAGACGGAATATATCTTAAAAAAAGGGGGAGTTTCCCTGTAAGTGCGGACGCTTAACACTCGATATTCCCCATATTTAGTTATCATTCTGGCGGGGCGACAGCCGCGAGGGGCGTATAATCAGGTGTGTTTAACACTGGCGAATGGTGTCAGGGTTCCGGGCCGCCTGCAGCTATGAATACTATACTACAGCACTCATTGTCAAGTACCTCTTGCCACAAGAACTGAAGGATACAAACAATAATATATATATATATATATATATATATATATATATATATATATATATATATATATATATATATATATATATATATATAGGGGGGTACCACCTCTGGTGCAATTATAGGGACCCACAGCCTCAGAGAAGGGAACACAGAGCATTCAGGGAAAAACTTGCCATTTAACTCTGAATACGTAAGAGTGTTCGCTTCTCCTACCACCCCCCTTTTTTATGGTGTACACTTTATTATGCAAGGTTATACAGTTACATATCTGACTTTATACAAAAAAAATGAACATTAAGAGGACACAAAAAAAAAGTTCGCTTCCTAGAGGCTGTAGATTTCCTCGAACTCCTCCGACGCCAGGCAGGAACCGAGGATGCAGCGAGCATTCCCCCTCTGGATTGCGACACTGAGGCGCTGAAAGAGAAAACTTGCCGCTCTAGGGTCTCTTGTGGTGTCAATGAGCTTGGAACCAAGATCCTTAAGAAATCTCCTTGCACTCTCTCCCCATGGGCCTAGGGTCTCAGACCCTATTGGAACGGAGTTGTACCGATGATCTAATTGCCTGTACTTGGCTGACTTGTCTCTTTCTCTGTGTCGCCGCGGCTCCTGCTTGGCCAACAGAGAGGTTGATGTATGTGGTGTAACATGCCATAGTAGAATTAGCAATAATGAAGTTATAATAACAATAATTTGTTTGTAAGCAAATATGTTTTGGGTGTTACAGAATTTTATAATAGTGATCTACACAATACTGACTAAGGTATGCTAAATTGTGAATGGAGAAAATATTCACGACTATTTTAATTAATAGTCCATCCTCGCAATCACTGCAATGTTTTCTGCCCGGCCAAACACCTTGAGCTCCACTCCCTTAACATTGTCTAATTTAACTTTGCCACAAGTATCAACATTATATACAACTAGAACTAATTAATCATGAGTGATGCGTATAGCGGTGAAGCAGTCAACAGGATAGGATAAAACAACTCAGCAGGAGATACAACTATTGCTGGATAATGGATATTATTTTAAGACTTAACAAATATAGCGAGACTAGCGTGTGTGTGTAATGCTTAATTGTTGTTGACAATTAAGCATTACACACACACGCATTACACATTAAGCATTATCCTATAGAAAAGAGCGAGTTCAAAGTAAGTTTGATCCAGGTTAGCTCGTGAATCTATTTATATTTATATGCCCGAAACGCTTTGCGTAATAGTGGCTTTAGGCATTGTATGTACTAGCTCTACCTATAAGTCAACCAATCTTTGTAAAAAATTTACTTTATGTATGTACCTTACCTAAATAAACATTTTATTTTATTTTTTTTTATTGATGATATATAGTTTAGATACTGAACAAAATTCTAGAAATTCATGCTATATATCTCTGAAGGTCTGAAGTTTAAAATGTTACATCTCTTATTAGGGCAGCATGTGAGTCTCTCTTCCTCTGCATATATAATCCCAGAGAGCAACGTGACCACGTTACTATTAAATAACCTTCCTCCTATCCCCTAACGACCCTCTTCCACTCCCCTCATCTCTTCCCTTCCCTCCGTCCCCTCTCCCTCTCCTCCCCACCATTCCATCCT